CGCTTTTTCTTCGTTTATAATCCATTCAGTCAGCAAACTACTTCATTCTACTCTTCTCCGAATCTTCTTTATGCCTTCGAAGATCCCATTCTTTATTTTTGTTTTCCTACGTGACGACTGCAACCGTATCCAGTTTGCTCGAGGCGTTATTTCCTATTATATTCATGCAAAGTTGTGGCCGAAAGTATCAGTAAAGCTTTATTAAGAGTTCCACTCCTCTATATGAGATGCATTCACTTTATTTTTAAATATGCTAAAGAAAATTGTAAGGTCTACTCATACAATTATGGGAAAATTCAATAGTATGAATAAATCTTGTCTATATGATCTATTGGTAGTTTCGAAAACCTTCATATACACGAAAAAAGGGTTCCATTCACTCTAGCTTCCTTGCCCAAATTTTATTTTCTCCCTAGGCTCTCGAACCCTTTGTCTTTAGACTTCCGATGTCTCCATTTAAAGCATAGGTGGATTGACCTCGTTTTCGCAACTTGGTAGTATTAACAGGATGACTTAGTTGGACGCATCTTGTGCGAATTCCTCTGCTATAGTAGTTGAGAGTGTACAGATTACATGCTCCAATCCTGGAAATAAAGTTAGCTACTATAGCAGACGACTTCGGACAAAATGGTCCATCTAGTTCGCCATGCCAACACGAGTAAATTGCGAAAACAAGATTAGACCACTTCTATACATCGAAAGGAGACTGCGACCACAATAGAGGCTACAGCCTTCATATCTCCATTTAAGCATGAGTGTTGAAATGGTCGCCTTTTTCCCATTCTCAATTGTGATCTTCTCCACTTGGATGTAGGCAACAAGGGCTGATTGTGTCGAGATTACTTATTTTCGCTTATAAGTACGTATCGAGATTACCAGTAGATCACGTATATGAGATGTAATCCCCCTAATTGGTTTCAGATGATAAAGACACTGGTAGTTGAAGCTTTCCACAATTATGAATAGGCCTCATGGTTTCACATAAACTTGATTCCCAGAAGGAGTTCTCATATGATTGTGCGAAAATTTCATCTTAACGAAATAGAGCGATGGCATCTTATATAAGCAGACATTTGTTCGGCTTTACAATGGTTAAAGTTACTTAATTTCTTATTCAAGAATAATTGATGGTCTCCAACATAAGTAAATTCGTCGATTGCAATGTCAAATACATGTTTACTTAATAGAAAATTCCACTATTAAAAGTGAACTGGCCTAGGCATAGTCATCTTTCAATACCTCATCCTCACGACAATTCGTAACTGCAGTCCAACCTGGGTGAGATAGCCCTTTTGGGAAATAAGGCTAATTGAAATCTAATGGTATCCCGGGGCTTACACATCCTATTGTGGGGAAAGTCAACTTCTAATCTTTCAATATTTCAATCATCTTAAATGACCCAAGCTGATTAAGTTTTTAGTCAAAACTATGACTAACATTTTGTTCTACCTACTTAAAACTGGAAATAAGTAATGCAGGCGATTACTATAGCAAATACTAATCTACAATTCTCTACAGGCCCCTCCTCCCTCTGACCCAAAGTCACTCGTGGCAGTCTGGCCTGTGTCGAAACTGTACTCTGCAATAGCAAAACCTGAGTTCGAGTCTTATTGGGAGTACTGATGAGGCTAGTTTAGGTGAGATCGCAGGTAGAATACTTTTTTGATAAAATCCAATGGCAACCTAAGTCCGGCTCCACTAATTGTGGGAAAATTCAATAAAAAATCTTTCATCTCCTTTAACGAAATAAAAGTTCTCAGCCGATTAGCTAAGTTTACATGAAAATAAGTGAACTATAGGTCCATTCGATCGAGCAGTCCGACTGCCTACATAATAAATGCCGGGTCCTGTGAACTTTGGCCCCTTAAGGGCAAGACAAAGATTCTGCTTGGACCTCTTTCAGCCCCTTTTCCTCAAGGTGGGCCTTTCCGTCAATCTTCATTGACATAAACAAGCACCAACATCACGATCACCAACTATATCATTGCTAGGTTGATCCAGAATGCGATTAAAAATAAGCAGAAGGATGAAATGTTATGAATTAAATATTAAATATTTATATAAAACATATATTCATAGATGTGTATATATATATATATATATTTGTATATATTTTTAAATTTAACGATAGCAGAAGAAATAGTCAGACTGATTAACTTTAAAAATGCATAATTTCAGAATACAAGACAAAAAGCAAAAACAATATTTGGTCATTTGCATGCAAGGCATTGCTAATACTTATGCCCAGAGGAGTGGGTTGTCCAATTTGTTGGTATGAAATAGCAAAGTTGACAAAATAGGAAATGATAACGGTTTGACCGAAAAAGGCGCTAGAAAAGAATCAGCCATTTTGAAGCACGAGTGTAATGTAGTGTTTGCACAATCCTGCTCGAAGGCGAGCGTCACTCAGGGCGTTGATAGATAGACAGATCCGTTGGTATGGCCAAATACGGTGGGGTGGAAGGATGTAAGGCTATATTGCAGGGTAGTGAGGCAAGCAGGAGAGTGATAGGTTAATGAACTAAAGATGCCTAACAAGTTGGTCCAGATTGGAAGGACCGGGGAGTATTTTGCGGAGCGTAAGGAAGAGACCATGTTCTGGTGACTGAGTTATGAGAAAATCGGTGTGCATAGATGAGCGGTGAAGTCTGATAAACGATGTTGGGCTCAAGGGTCTGCCCGGCAATGGGTGGAAAAGGGGTCGAGTTGCAACTTGGATAGCCTGGCAACCGGCCTTGGGCAAGAGACTACTTCAAGTCTGGGCAGTCGATGCGTCTCAAGAAGACGGTGTCATCGCTGTACTTGTGGATTCGAACGCACATTTCGTCGCACTGTTCCGAGCCCGATTTGTCGTTTGACGAGTCGGTCGGCCAGGGGATGCCAACAAAGTCGTCTAAAGGCAAGAGTGCAGAAAATACAACTATCAGTAATTAAAATATATATAAGATATATCTCGAAAACCTATTCAATTACGAATACTAGTAAATCAGTTATACGAGATGCTATCACTCTATTCCATTTAAGCTGATGAAGGACTGGCAGTAGAAGAATTTTCCCACAATCATATGAGTAGACCTAACGTTTCCATTGACTTCCACATTGCCTTGCCGCCCCAAAATTATTCTCATCCGAGCACCAGTCGACTGCAGTTTCAACCTTGCAGAAGTCGAGTGGTTAACGTGTTCATCTCCCGCTGAGGATGTCGATAAGACAGGGACGAGATTGAAACTGCAGTCCACTTGTGCCTGGATGAGAATATTTTTGGGAAAGCAGGAATGTGTGAAATTCAATGGAAATGTCAGTTCTATTCATATTATTGAAATAGGGTGAATACATCTAATATAAAATACAACTGGATAGAACCGGCAAGAGGATGCTTTATCGATAATCCCACCATTGAAATTCACATCCACCCTGTGGCACACTGGCACTCGAAAGAGTGTGGTGTAGTGTCAAAGTGTCGAGATTATAGTGTACTGCACTTTCATGGTTCGAGTCCCATTGGGTGTGTTGGCGAGGTCGAATCTGCAGTCCACTCCAGCCGGGATGAAAAAGTTATGTCTACTCATCTGATCTTGGCAAAATTCAACTACCAGTCTTTCATAATCTTAAATGAAATGGGGTGATACATCTCAGATAAGAGGAGGCAACCTGTGCAAAAAGGGTGTGGGTTTCGCTTACCGAGAGTTGGCTTTTCGACAACATCACCTTTTGAGGCTGAAGTCGACGTGATCGACGTTGGCGGCGGCGGCAACGGGGGCGATGGCGCCAGTGGGACTGGTCGTCCTGGCAGCATCGCATGTGGTTTCTCGTTGCCGCAACACTCGCCGTGGCTGCTCGTCTCGCCGTTCTCGAAGTTGTTCGAGTGTCTGTTCTGTCCAGACTCAGACGGCAATTGAAGGTGGCCTCCGAGGCGTTGCCAGTTCTCCGTGGTGCCACTGCGCTGTAGAAGTGGAAACATCCATTCGGATGAGGAAATCACACTATTTTCTGTGCGCGTGCATATGTGTTTGCTTGCCTGCATTTCTACACGTAAGAGTGTGTCTGCGTGTGTGTTGGTAGAGCACTTAAAATCATATGTTCATGATTCTGGCCATGCTAGGACAATCTACAAGCCTAAGATATAAATGTGTTCTAACTGTTTGGCAAATCTTCTCCTGGAGTCCACACATACAACGGCCATGTTGAGTTTATATAGGAGCTTCGTGGATATGCAGAAGAGGAGGCTGAAGGATGCCCTTAAGGTGTGCGTAGGTGGTGGTGAAATGGAGAAGTGGAAAATGAATTCACTACTCCAGAGAGATGTAAGGGTCCCCAAGACTTACGGTCTTTCTAAACTGCACAGGAAGGTGGTCCCGCTCAGATAAATTGTAAATAATGAAGGAAGCATAATGCATACAATCTCACATTTTTGTGCACATAATTGAGGCAAGCTGCTGACTTTGGGATATATTCGACGGAAAACTATTATGAGGGTATTTAATTGATCAGCGGATAGCTTCAGGCGAAGATAGGCATGTACAAAAACATTCATATTCAAGGAGATATTCAGGCTCTAGTACAAACTCTGGAGGTGCATCCGGAGATCCCACAAAGAGTAAGGTGGAACATGGCGTCTATACATAGACATTTTCGGGACCATAGCAACTTCAAACTATGTCCCCAGTCATTGGTCAAAGGCCTAAAGAGGACATGATGACGAACACGGATAAGTTGTGAAAACGAGATCATTTCGATTATGCCCACTCATATGAAGAGGTCTCATCCATTGTCCAAACCCTTTTGGTGCAAAATTGCGTAATCATGTGGTCGTCCAAATGCTGGAGAGCCTGGTTGTCGGGTTTTACAAAGCATAGCTTATAGAGACCGTTGCGCTCAACGATTAGAAGTGGCCACGAATACGGCAGAAATCAGATTTTAGAGTGAATCTCCTCGAACTCATGAGTTGGCTGAGTATGCTTGTTGAAGTATAACTTCGATTAAGAATGACATGGATTTGATTGATGGTAATTACGAAAAAGTTTGACACTTTCCCGAAAACTGAGGTTACTCGGAAATCTCATGAAATAAGCCATAAAGGCAACTAGTAATGCGTAATCTTGGAGACGCTTTTTTTATAACTTAAGGGATATAGTTTACTCGAAGGTATGAATATCAAGATGGTGTGGCCTTTTGTGTGGTCGCAGTCTCCCTTCATTGTATAGAAGTTGTTTGACCTTGTTTTCGCAACTTGATCATGTTGGTAGGAAGACTTGGAGGAACGCACCTAGTCCGGAGTCCATTGTATGCCTCATCATTTCCAAAGTTGAACTATGGACGTGGTACATTCTCACACGTATCCCCGGCATCGTCAGTGAGTCTCGCCATTCTTAGCACCGCACAACAACTCGCCAAAGAGACAAGTGAAGCCGATCCTATGATCAAACGTGTGCTATACAATTGTGCCATCTCCCCTCCTGCCCTGGGCTATTCACATTTCCTATATCCTCCTATCACGCTTTCACTATTTCAATGAG